CAAAACCGATTAATCGAATATTCTCCGACATGCTGTAATTGCAGCCTGTTGGAGCAGTTGTCCTGCATGTCTACAGGCACCCTTTGTTGTTAGTCCCAAGTGCCTGACCTTGCAGTCTGCACTATTGCATTTCATTGCATTTCTATGACTCAAGTTTTTTAACTCATCCAGTTCTTTCTGAATAATGTCCTGATCGTCCTTTGTACTGATGGTACCTCTGTACTGAATTAGTAGTTTACATCAGTATACTCCAAGAAGCATAGGCAGAGCCAGTATCCTGGCAACAGGAGTGTGGCCCTATCTCATTCAGTGGTAAAGAGAACTCATTGTGTGCCACATAGCCGAACAGGATATGCCATGATCTCCCTTGCCATGATTCTGAGCTCACCAGCTGGTCACGGGGAGCTCTATGAGCTCTCCAGCGGGTCAGTGTGGGGTCTGTCCGAAGCCCCTGATTACATGCAGCTTCAGAGCCCAAGGGGAAGACTTCTACTGCTGTTCACCATCCCCTTCCCCAGCAGCAAGGGAAAAGAGGTTCCAGAGCTACATAAAAGCAAAAAAGGAGGGGGAATGAAGTTTGTGAAGTTTGGAGTTGCACTAACAGAAGCACTGTATACAAGCCTTAAGATGAATAGTACTACTCCACTCAAGGCTGGGTAGGCCTCAGCTATTGTCCTGTGTTCATTGTTGGTGCCACATTTTAAGAAAGATCTAGAGAAATGAGACAATCCAGAGACAAGGGACAAAGATGATAAAGGGGTTGGAAAGCAAGTCATACAAGAAAAGGTTTAAGAGAGTAGGTACATTTTCTTCGGAGAAAAGGAGATTGAGAGGGAACATGAGCAATTTTAAAATAATTGGAAGGCTGCTATAAGGAAGATGGAATAAAACATTATTTGCCTTTGCCACATGGGCATGAGATGTGCCAGTGGGTTTAAATGGCAGCATGTCTGATTAGTTCACTTCCTAAATGAAAGAGCAGTAGGACAATGGAACCAGCTGCCTAGGGAAGTTGGGGAATTTCCTTCAATGGGAGTTTTCAAGAAGAGGATAGATAAGCATTTGCTTGGGATGGTTTTGGGAACAGCACATCCTGCATGTGCTGACCCTAGAGAAACTCCTTTCTAATCTAATTCTATATATTGCAATTGTGTCATGGCATCAGTCGGTGCTAGTCTGGAGCAGAACTTTCAGTACATTAAGGTTGCTTGGCATTTCTCCCCTTTTCAAGGTAGCCATGCCCACTTTTATATCTGGATGATACCTGCTTCTTTCAGTCTTCAGAACCAAATTAACCCTTTTTTAGCAGTATCAATGCCTGCTAAGAAGAGTATGTATTTTAGGTAAATAGTCAACTTTTAACAGCAGACTTTTCACATTTTATGCTTGACACAAGCCAAAGGTATATACGTTTAAAACACATTTAAAGCCATATGTACTAAAATTTTTAATCAGTGTCTCTTATGAAAATACCTGTCAGCAACAGCTATTAAAAACAGTTGGATGAGATGTCCTTAAAGTTAAGACAAGGATATTTCTGGATTATGGACATCTTTGTAATGAGTGCAGTAAGTCTATAATAACCTTGTGATGATCCACAAGAAAGCCATTCAGAGTCTTCAGGCATTTTTAATTAACAAGATAACTTCCTCATCAAATCCATAGTCCAAAGACTGGATGTGTGTTATACACACTTTTCTTGTTACAGCGAGATGAAGAAGTGATGATATATTCTCAAATGGTCGTCAGAAATACAAACAAGGTTGTAGTCAAACCTATGCACCAAAATTAGTAGATAAAGCTCTAGGGCATATCTTGCTGTACAGGAATGCAGAATGGAAGGGAAGGAAGGGTTAAACAAGGATTTAGGAACTTCAGAGCCATCCTAGATGACATCCTAGGGCACCTATACATGAGCAACAAGGCTGCTCTGATGCACTGTAACTACAGTGTGTCAGAGCAGACTCGATTAATCAAGTCTGCTGGCGTGTGGCAATTACTACACTTCAGTAGACTCTAGCATCTTGTATATCAACATCCCCACGCTGAATAATGGGGCTTTAGTTAAAGCGTCCCTGCTGACATTTTTCAGTGTGGGAATGCTGATACACAAGATGCTCCAGGAGCTGTTCTAATTAAAGCCCCCCTGCCTCCCCTCCAGAGCACATGTATAAATGCCCCAAGATCCTACCTACAGCAGAATTACTGCATGGGAAGACTAAAGAAATGAGAGTACACTCTATAGATATGATTCAGTACATGGACAGTAATCATGTCATTTTATTTTGAACTAAGGCAGCTGCGTTAAAGGACAAAGAAAGTGCTATATATTGTTGCACATTTTGAGCTGGATGGTCAGCCAGAAAACCAATTTGTGGTCTTTAAGGTTTCCTTTAGGAAGAGAAATTGATGAGAAATGTAGGTATTTCTTTAATGCAGTCCTTCTTTTTACAAAGAATATATTCAAAAGCTTGTTTCCTATACCACAGCAGGGGTCAAACATCAGGAGGCAGTTTCTCGGCTCACAGTTCCAGCAGCATTTTACCCCAAAACTCTTCTTCCTCACCTTCTCTTGTGGCCACATTTCCAATTCTCTTGCTGGCTTCCATTTTTTTCACAACTTCTTTATACCTGCTCTCTGCCTACTGCTGTTCACAGGTACATTCACCTCCATTAAGAAAGAGGAACTCCTTCATCTGATAGCTCAGTTTCTTACCAGCCTTGTATATGCGCTCTGCTTTGGGTAATGGCTTCTGTTGTGTCATCCATCTTTTTAAATAAAAGAATAAAATTGCTTCTTATATGAATTTTGGATGAATAAGGCAGCTGTCACACATCTTTAACAAGTTTTTATCCACTTTCTATAAAAAATATTATAAATGTTGAGAGATGTTTGTACCGTGCATCTGGATTTTAGTTAATATTTTATTTTGCTCCCTTTCTCATAGAATCATAGAAGTAGGGTCGGAAGGGACCTTGTAGATCTTCAGGTCCAACCCCCTGCCTGGGCAGGAAGAAAACTGGGCTCAAATGACCCCAGTCAGGTAGGCATCAAGTCGCTTCTTAAAGACCCCCAGTGTAGGAGCCAGCACCATTTCCCTTGGAAGTCGGTTCCAGATCCTAGCCGCCCTGACTGTGAAGTAGTTCCTACGGATGTCTAATCTAAATCTACTCTCCAACAACTTGTGGCCGTTATTCCTTGTTATCCCGGGGGGCGCTGGGGGAAACAAGGTCTCCCCCAACCCCTTCTGGTCCCCCCTAGTGAGTTTATAGACGGTCACCAGATCCCCCCTCAGCCTTCTCTTGTGAAGGCTGAACAGGTTCAGGTCCCGTAGCCTCTCATTGTAGGGTCTGCCCTGCTGTCCCCGGATCACGCGGGTGGCCCTCCTCTGGACCCTCTCAATGTCGTCCACATCCCTCTTGAAGTGGGGTGCCCAGAACTGGACACAGTACTCCAGCTGCGGCCTGACCAGTATGACTCCAAGATCCCTTTCTGCCTCCGTGCTCTCAAGAAGGGAGTTTCCCATCTTATAAGTGTGCTGCTGGTTACTACTGCCCAAGTGCAGCACCCTGCACTTGTCAGTATTGAAACGCATCCTGTTTTTGTTAGCTCACCCTTGCAACCTATCCAGATCTTTCTGCAGTCTTTCCCTCCCTGCTAACGTGCCCACCTCACCCCAAATGTTGGTATCATCAGCAAATTTGAACAGGTTGCTTTTCACTCCATCGTCCAAATCGCTGATAAAGAAATTGAACAGCGTAGGCCCAAGGACTGAGCCCTGGGGGACTGCCCACTTCTCCCCAGGTCGAATATGACCCCTCCACCACCACCCTCTGAGTACGACCCTTCAGCCAATTCACAATCCATCTGACCATGTAGGCATCGGTGTCACAGTCACCTAGTTTTTTAATGAGGATGGGGTGGTCGACAGTGTCAAAGGCCTTGCTGAAGTCCAGAAAAACTACATCCATGGCGACACCTGCATCCAATTCTTTTGTGACCTGAACATATAAGGCAATCAGGTTGGTCTGACATGACCTGCCCTTAATGAAACCATGCTGGTTGCCCTTGAGCATCATCCCCGATGCCGGCCCATCACAGATGTGCTCCTTGATGATCTTCTCAAAGAGTTTCCCCAGGATTGAGGTAAGACTGATGGGCCTATAGTTGCCCGGGTCCTCCCTCCTCCCTTTTTTAAAGATGGGGACCACATTGGCTGTCTTCCAATCATCTGGCACCTGGCCTGAGCACCACGAGCGCTCACAAAGCCATGCCAAGGGCCCTTCAATAACCCCTGCTAGCTCTCTCAACACCCTGGGGTGAAGAGCATCTGGACCTGCTGATTTGAACACGTCCAGCCCCTCCAGAAGCACTCTAACCCAGTCCTCCTCAACCTTTGGTCTGGAGGCGTTCCCCTCGAGTCTGTCTTGAATCACGGTGGGGGAGTCCCAGTCCCTGCACAAGAAAACGGAGGTGAAGAATTTGTTAAAGAGGTCTGCCTTCTCCTCCAGTGCAACCACCAGCGGATTCTCTTTGAATCCTATGGTACAGTAAGTTTGTCTTGCAACCTTTGTTTCACCCCATTAAAGTTTTTTTTTCTTGAAAAATAAAGTTTAAAATTTTAGAAAATCCAGTTGTCTGGGTTTTGGTCTTTTAAGCATGTGCTCAAGTTGTGGTAAATTTTAACTTCCCTGCCCCAATTTTAACTTCTCTGCCTTTTAAAACCTTTTGAAATTAGATTATTGGGGTAATTAGAAAATTATCTTGTCTGTGGTCTGTACATCACTAGGACAAAGTGAATACAGATTAAAACAACCATTGAATTAAACTGAACTGAAACATTACATGTGGTTATGGGGGGGAGGAGTTAAACCACAGATTTTAGGTGTAGCAAAACAGTCTTGGTTAGTGAAATGGTTACATTATAAATTAATCACTGCAGTATATAGATGTTCATCACATCTATATCCACTATAATTTCTTGCCTTTCTACTTACACTATTAAGATAGTATATATATATTTTAAAACACTGTGTGGACTTAAAGCGCTAAGAAAAGACCAAAGATTTTTCTAAAGGCATGAATGGCTAAATTTCACTGGACATACAGGAATATATGTTGTAATAGCTAGCCTTGGTAGAAGAGTGGCAGCCTCATGAAAACTAATTAGAAATGTTTAGCTCTTCTCAATACCTACACAAGATTCCACTTTCAACCACATGTAACCCTTTGGTCAGGCACCAGTCAGCAGCAACAAGGGTCAGGTTCAAATTCTGGAGTTCCCAATAAGCTTTCACTGTGACTCGAGCCCCCAGCCTGAAATCTGGGATCGTGGAGTTTGGCTGGGGTGTCCTGCATAAACAAAACCCTCTCCTTGAAAGCAGAGTAAATACAAAGGACAGATTTATTACAGAAAGCAAAGGCAAGGAAAACACCAAATGCAATTTAACACTACCAACTACAAAGTACAGTCTCTAGTTTGCACCCCTTTTGGGGAGACTCTACCCATGCCCAGGCAATCTGAGGCATGGGAGCTCACCCAAGGGATAGTTCTGGGGGGCCTGTGCCCCTGTATTTGTTACTGAGCAAGAGAGTCCTATAAGCTGCTCCTTGGGTTTCACTGCATTTTGAGAAGCTGCTAAGGAGTGTGGGTCTTTCTGCAGTGCAAGGGACCCCTTGTTGCACCCTGGGAAGATGTAGAAGAAGAAGGGTAGCTGAGCCTAGCTAAGACACAAGAACTGCTTCAGCCACAACAAGCTCCAAATCCTGACCCATTCTACATGCAATAATTACCTTTGCACAGTGGCAGTATTGTAGCCTGTGAGGTTGAACAGAGGTATGACTGTTAGTTGAAAACTTCTACTGTCTCTTTCCAGGTTGCCCAAGCAGGGCAGAGAAAACAAGATACTAAATTATAGAAAACCTGCAGCACAGCAGAAAAAAAATATACAATCTTATTTAAACAAAACTATATACAACACATTTTACAATGCAAAATGCCTTGCACATTTTGTGTGGGTTACACACATAATCCCACTTCAACAATTTTCAGGTTTTTTTAAATGGATTTTCATGACTATTTCCCTCCTTAACTGAAATATGAAGGAAAATCACTAGACCAGATGCTGTATCTCCCTAGAGTATATTTTAATGAGCTGTCACAAGGAAATCAGATCATCACATTGGTATTAATACCTAATATCTATAGCAGTTACTGCACCTGTTGCTATAGGAAATCCTAAGAGGTAGACATTCAAAGGCTCTTCTGTCAACTGATGAGGATCAGCATCTTTACTTTCCTCTGTGGTTTCTCAGCAATATAGGAGGTAGGTAGGATTGTGATCTACAGATGCCTGGTCACCTCAATACTGCAGAAGAAATTGATTTGGGGTGCCTTCCCAGTCTTCTCAGTGCTCCAGAAGAAGGAAAAATATTGCCAAGAATTTTGCCAGTATATATTGTATGAACATGTTTTATTTCTGGATCTGTATGGCTTGAGAATTAAGAGGCTGTCAGCTATCCAGTGTACAAGCAGTAGAGTAACAGAAGGTGCGGGGTGACTGGGGCACCACCCCAGTCTCCAACTCTCAGAGCAGTGCTGCCAGCAGTGTAGCCATTGGCAGTGTCCAGGGTGCAGCTGCCACCCTGGGCACTCAAACACGCACTTATCCCTCTGTGTCATGGCCCTTTCAGACATTCCAAAAGTGGCTGAAACATTCCAATATAGGACCCTCTTGACATGATGTACTGTTTTGAACCGTCTCACTTTTTATTACATCTGGACCAGGTCAGGAGGGTAGGTGGCCAGCCTGTGCCAGAGCGAGTGCCTCCTCTCCAGCCACCAAGTCCCTGGCTTGCACTTGCAGGGAATCAGGAAGGCCAAAACAGAATTAGAATTTAGGCTGGCAACAAAAATTAAGGACAACAAAAGGTCCTTCTTCAGGTATATAGAGAGCAAAAGGAAGGTGGAGGATAGCATAGGACCTCTACAGGACAAACTAAGGCAATTGGTGACAGAGAAGGGGGACAAAGCTGAGCTCTTCAATGAGTTCTTTGCATCTGTATTCCTAGACACAGAACAAGACAAATCTCCCAATTGGATCATAGACACAGGAGGGACACCAGCCCACCAACTGTTAGTGCAGACTTAGTGAAGGGGCCTGTTGGAGGGGCTGGATGTGTTCAAATCAGCGGGGCTTGGATGAACTTCATCCAAGGGTGCTGAAGGAACTGGCCAATTTTAGCAGCGCTGCTGGCATGGCTGTTCAAGCACTCCTGGTACTCTGGTCAGGTCCCAGGGTATTGGGAAAGGGCCAGGGTGGTCCCTATTTTCCAGCAGGGGAGGAGGAAGGAACCAGGAAACTATAGGCCGGTTAGTCTCACTTCTATCCTTGGAAAACTCTGGAAAAAATCATTAAGGATCACATTTGTGGGAGCCCAGCAGGGGAAATAATGCTGAAAGGAAATGAGCATGGGGTCATTTCAGGTTGATCCTGCCTGATTAACTTTGTTTTTTTAATGACCAGGTCACAAAATTCTTAGACACAGCAGTCAAGGTAGATGTCATCTACCTAGACTTTAAGAAGGCCTTCGATATGGTATCACATTCTGTTCTCGTACATAAACTGACAGGATGTGATGTAGATGACTACATGGTCAGGTGGGTGGCAAATTGGCTTAGGGGTTGTACCCAGAGAGTGGTGGTGGACGGGTTGATATTGACCTGGAAAGATGTGGGCAATGAAGTCCTTGCAAGGCTCAGTCTTTGGACCAGTGCTATTCAGTGTCTTCATCAGTGACTTGGACAAGGCTGTAGAGAGCACCCTGCTCAAGTTCACATACCAAATTATGGGGCAAAGTTAACACACCAAAGGGTAGGGAATAGATTCAGGTGGATCTGGACAGGTTGGAAACATGGGAAGAATGATTCATAGATTCATAGATTGTAGAGTCAGAAGGGACCACAATGGATCATCGTGTCTGACCCCCTGCCCCTGGCAGGAAAGAGGACCAAAGTCAGATGAAATAGGATGCAGTTCAACAAAGACAAGTGAAAAGTGCTGCACCTGGGCAAAAAGAACCACCAATACATTTACAGGCTGGGGGATGACCTTCTCAGCAGCACAGCAGCAGAAAGGGATCTTGGTGTCAGAGCCCCAAGATGACCATGAATCGTCAATGTGACGAAGTGATCAACAAGGCTAACTACAAATGACACAAATCTATTGGAGCTAGATATCTTTTGAACATGAAACTCAGTTGCTTGAGGCTCCATTCAAAATCAAGAGAAACACAAATATCAAGCAAATATCTGTGCATGTTTGCATGTGTATATAGAAGCATTTATCTGTATATATCTATATATCGATATATATATATATATACAGACATGTACATACATGCATGTATTTGGAAATTCTAATATTATAAAAGCCTAAGTCTGTCTGTCTGTCTGTCTGTCCATAACACTTTATTTGCACTCTAATTGGGTGATGGAAACAGCCAATCAGAGTGCTCCAAGTGTGGTGGAGCGTCGCCATGATTCCAAAGCTGCGCCAAGGACAAGACAGGGGGTTGGGGACCCAGGGCCAGCAGCATTGGCCTTGGCTCCCCCACCCTGCTCCCTGTAGTTGTTTTGCATTGTGTACCACTACTACCTGATAGCATCATTAGCTGAAACCTTACCCATGAAGTCAAAGTGAAGCCAAGCATAGTGAAAGTTCTTAATATTCAAAGCTAGTATAAGGACAATGTGACATTTTGATCATTGGGTAAAAACTGAGGGTCCAATTCTGCCACCCTTACCTTGGGATCATTTTGATTTGACTGAAAGTAGAATAGTCGTTCTAATAAGTTAGTGGTGTTTTAGTGGTTATAAAAAGATCACAGGTAGGCCAGCTGATGAGTAGGAACTTATTTCCTAAGTAGTTCCATTTAAGACAGTGAGATAATTTAGGGATTTAGACACTTCTTGACGAAAGGAAAATTTTAATAAAAGCCCATAATTGGGAAGGCTTCTTACTAGCTGTGTATTCTAAGGCATAAAACAGTGGTTTTCAAACTGGAGTACATGTACCCCTGGGGATATGCAGTGCTCTGCCAAGGTGTACCTGCTGACAGTAGTGTAACTTCTTCTTCGCATGTCTCTACACCACATTTGACCATTTTGTTACACATGCTTGTTCTCATTTATTGTACTTTGTGAGAACTTTCGTTGTACATGTGCCCTCAAGCAGTGGTCATTGCAGCAGGTATTGTATTGTCTGAGGCTCTGTGCTGCAGTCACAGATGGTTGAACCAATGGTATAGCCCCACTTCTTCACTAGTTCCTTGGAGTATGTAGCAGGGCACTGTGGTGTGCCTGCCATTTGAAGGGGAGAAGCTGCCTCATAGGCAGCTTCCAGGTGGTGTGGGGGTTGGCTGGAAGCTCACCTGACCAGAAGGCCAGGCTGGGGCCAGATAAGCCTGAGCCAGCCAGGAGCCTAGTCCTGAGAAGAGGCGTTCTCTGCAGCAGGGGCAGAAGGACTCCTGAAGGGCCCAAGCAGATATGGGGAGCAGAAGGACTCTGCTCTGCTTCTGTGAGCCAAATAATATTACCCAGGGCAGAGAAAAAAAGGTTTATGCAGGCAAGGAGCCTTTGTTTTATGATGGTTTTATTGTCTGAGTGACAAGCCTTGAGCTTTGCTGGAGACAGGCTTAAAGCTGACAGAAAATTCCCCATCCCAGAGAGAAGGGGCTGAATAGAGATACAAGGATTCCCTAGTTCAGAGAAGGTGCTGAGCGAGCGAACAGAGTCCACCAGCCCAAAGAAGGGGTTGAAAGGGGATATAGAGGGTCTCCAATGCAGAGAAGAGGCTGTGTGGAGTATAAGGGGCAAGGGAATAGAGCCCACCAGTCCAGAGACAAGGGGGTTGAGTAGGCACAGAGGGTTCAGTCTAGAGGAGGGGCTGAATGAGGGAACAGAGCCTACCAGCCCAGCAAAGGGTTTGGGGTGGGGTACAGAGGATTCTCCAGTACAGAGAAGGGACAGAACCATGAAATGTATCAGAGGATCCACTGACCAGGGAGAGTCAGAGCGAGGGATTAGAGGGCCTGAAGTCTCCTAGACGGGTGGTATGAGGGGATAGAGAAAGAGAGTGGAGAGACCCAGAGGGTCTGAGAGTCATAAGAGGGGCTTAGAGAAGCTAACATCTGAAATTATAACACTTGTGATGCTTGGGGTGTGGTGTAAGGGAGGAATGGAGCCACACACTCTTGCCCATAAAGCTATAGGTGCCCTGCAGGGGCACTGCCAGGCCAAGAAGGCCTATTTTAGCATAAGGGCTGGATTGAGACTAGTGGGGTCCATGAGGGACCCATTGAGAAACTGATTGGATTTAGGCACTCTCTGAGGCCCAAGGCTAGCCTCCCTTACTCAATACTGATTTACACTTTTTAGAATAATTTGCTTACATTCCAGTCTCTCAGGCAATTTGGCCTATTGAATGCAGCACTAGAGACTCAAGGAACTAGGGGTGCTTGTACACGTGACAGTTGTCACAAGGTATACGTGGCAAAAAGTCATTTGTGTGGCTTAATGGTGTCACACATTACATGTGCACCAGTTTTGGGAGAGGCGGGTAGGCTCTGCAGAAAGAAAAGATTGGGCCTCTCACCGCTTCTGCTTTCAGCAGGCACCTGCTGCAGGTAGAAGTGGTGAGGGGCCCAATCCTTTTTTATTTTATTTTTTTTCCAGTGGTGCCTGCTCACCTCTTCTACAGCAGGGGGCAATCTGTCAGGCGTTCAAGTGGCTCCTGAGCTGTGGGGGCCCCTGGTCCTTCCATCTACAGCAGTGGCACCCGCTGGGGCTGCCCAAGTGGGCTGATAGCAGGCTGGGTGCTGTCCCAACTCAGAGGCAGCACCCAGCCCTATCCAAATGTTTCC